GAGGGGCGGCGCGGGGGTACGGGGAGAGTGTGACGTTGTAGGCCGATGTTGTCAAGTTCGGGGTTGAAAATAAATGTTTGTTTGAAAATAAACTTCAATTTTAAATAGTAAACCACCGCTGCTTTAGCAATAAACTGAATTCTTCAAGGAGGGATGAATACGGGATGTCACGTCTACTTGGTTGCGATGGTGGCGTTTATGAGGTAGAAAAAAGATTAAGGATCTTCTCACCTACTTGAGTCAGTGATGTTGTTTTCTCCTGCATTACCTTTGGTCTGTGCAGATCCGTCTGAGATTATTTCATCATTTTATGTGAACAAAACCACAATTCACAATTCCAGTGGCAGTTAAACCATTAGCACCAGGTTTGTTTGTATTTTATAATTTCGGGTTTGCTTACCTATTCCATACTATGTTCTCATACACCTCCAGGAGGGTCATTTGGGATTTTGCACTGTTGTTACAGGAAGAACTGAAATAAATATTTATTTTAAGTTTCTATTCCAAAATAAACTCTTAAAGTGTTAATAATACTCAAGTGAATGAAATGCAGTCTGTAGAGTCAGAAATAAAGCAGCTTTCTAGCTTTTCCTTTACACATACTCTAGTACTAGTTCTAAAGTGAGTCTTGCTTCACTGAGAGAGAATACCACAAAGCTTAGACACAGAATGAAATACCATTTTATGGTGCTCTGAACACCTATGGACACACAGAAAAACTAGAGCAGAAAAAAAAAGAATAGGGTTTTTCAAAAAGTCAACAGAATATAAACAGAAAAAAACCCTCTAGAAAGTAAGTTACGTGGAAGAAAGACCTAGCAGCAAGAATAAACAGCAGGTTAGACAGGAATTTTCGTAAGTAAAACCCCAGGATTTTGACTGTGGATGTCAAAATCATGTTATTGAGCAAAACTAATATTTCTCCACATGTGGTTTTAGTGCAGCTTTACCATAAGTAGTATTGTCTGTCCTAGCATTGACATTACATGGAAATACAAAATTTCAAAACCTAAAATATCACTGCTGAGAAAATTAAAGAAATAGAATAAATAGGTATCATAGAATGTAGTTTAAGCAATCTCTATCCAATTTAGGTTCTGTAGTAATGATGAATTACACAAGAGGGAGCTGTGATCTGATAAATATTTTAAAACTTCATGTCAAGTACTTTCCTTTCAGTATTCACATAAGAAAAAAACACATGGTGACACTATGTGCTGCATTTTTTTTCCAAAATAGTGATGGAGGTAGTCTTTTTGCAGTTAGCAGAATATATTTAAAGCCCCAGTATTATCTAGTAATTTTGTCAAAAACATTTGTCAGATATTTTAATATCCTCTGGATGACTATTTTTACATATTTCTGCTTCATTTACAGGTAGAGATCGGAGCCAAAAAATTACTTTGCAAATATAAAACAGGCATCCAATTTTGTAACCAGTTGTAGCATCCCAACTCAAATCTATTACACTCT